AATGTATGCCGCCATATTGCTTGATATGCAATGGTCTGCTACGCAGAGCTTAACCTTTGTTCACCAAGATCCATATCTCCTTAGCTGAGTATGCTGGCTCGGGTACTTAACTGTCGATCGCGTAGCCCCACGTGCATAAAAACTAGAAAATTGTTACATTACCTGCGAGATTATTCAAAATCTTGGTAGGGGGGCTGTTCTGCTTAATTCTATGGATAATGCACCGTGGATCTCAAAAGGTCAAAGGATGATTCTCTAGCCGTTCTGGTCTTGTATATGCGAGAGCGCTCGTTGAGAGGGTTGTGTAAGTAATATGCGTCGATTGTATTGCGCGTCGAGTTTCGTGCGTACAAATTTTTGTTTGCTTGTCTACGTCGCCCGTTTCACCTTCTGTGTTGCCGAGGCGACCCCGTGCCGATCTGCTGCGCTTCGGGTCGTTATTCTGTTCACAGACTACGATCTGGGCATCAGCGTTCCAGTGAGTAGAAGGAATTACAAGTCGTGCACACGAATGGAACCTGCTGCTGCAGTGGATGGCGGCAGGGAATCGAGCCGCATGAGCCCACGCCGGTCGGAACGCTGCTCGGGGCACCAATTGAGAACGCCGAGATGAGAGGTGATGAGGCTGCTGCTGTGAGCTACAGTGGAAAGTCACAAGAGGAGGATGGCATCGCTATGCGCGTTTTAGGGCGAGCGCTTAGTCATATGATTGCTAGACGAGCCTGCCGAGCGTAGGCGGAACTACGAGGAGCCGCACTGGGTGCGGCAGACGTGCGGCGAGACGTCTAGTTACATACTCGAAGATTCTGAATTGAACTGATAGCGAGAGTATCAGAGACGAGATCCTGCTTACTGGCTCTAACTGGGACTGGCGGTCTCGTAGATCGCTCGTCGCCATGGGATATATGAGAATGGCTGCTCGTAGCAGCGAAGCCCTGACTAATGCAGGGCGCCGACATTCATCCACCGAGCCATGGAACGGTGGCTCGATGCATCAGCAGTTTGGTTCCGCCTGCCGTTCAACGTGGACACGGAAAAACACTTGACATCCGCGCCTAATCACTAGTAGTCAAGGCAAAATCGCTACGCAGGACAGAACAAAGACAGACCTATAGAACGCCTCAATAGGCAACCCGCGAAAGACGAAAGGCGCGCAAAGCAGAGCAGAACTAAAAAGAGACGAAATAAGTACAGACGTCGTCGCCGACAACGTACACGTAATGATGCATAGCAGCGAGTAGCTGGCCTCATCTCTGAAGCGTGTACCTCCCGCTGATTGGTGTTAGTAATCCAGAGAAACGCGACTTTCTTAAGTGCTAGATTCGATGCCCCTCGGTTTGGACATGCTAGTGTAAAACCGCGATTTCCTCGTTCCTTCGTTTTTATTCCATAGAATGTGCGAGGCACCTCAATACACGACATTTCAGTATATCTGCTGTGGGCGGCGACTCACAATCGCGGTTGGTTGCTTTCGATGTAGCGAGCAACTGACTGCATCTGGCGCAGGATTTCGACGATGCGAAAAACCAGCGCTATCCCGTAGTGATGTGTGGAATCCATGGCGGCTAGGTTCAAAACGTAGTAACTGGTCAGCGCCGATGTATCAGGCGCGGGAGGAGCCTGGAGTGGTATGATGCTCACACTATGTCCACCTATGCAATTTACCGACTTAGCGCCTTAGAGTTTCCCTAATAATATTTGTGTCTTATGTTTTAACATTCCCTCACTCTTTCTCTTTCCTCGGCGTTATACTCCGCCCCTTTTTATCTGTTGATATTCTGTTCACTATCCCTCTCTTGCTAACTATTAATGTAAACTAATTTTCTACAGCTCCTTTTTCTTAACAAGAAATCTCTTAAAGCACTCGCCAGCACTACCATACCTGACCTAATGTAGTTTAATGAAGTCAATGGGCAAGTTACGATGTCAATCAAGACCATCTGGCGACAGCATGGACCACACTTACGCAGCTCGCATACGAGGTCGCAATTGTCCCCTCAAGCGTAGCTGCTGGAACGTACCCGGGTACGGTCCCGGTATACCGAACGTAACGCTGGTCACTCAGATACTACGATAATAATATGCAGCTCGGACGCGTACCCTTCGGCGCTACCTCATCCTAACGATCTAAGGGAGTCGCCTACCGCTACTTCCTGCACACCCTAACTCTAACTGCCTCACACGCGCCTAACCCCTAACCATATCAGCTAGATAGTTTACGCAGGGTACGTTCCGGTATACCGGACGTACCCAGGGTACGTTTCCGGCAGTACCTGGTGGACATAGATCCTATGAGCCTCTACGCCACAGTATGCATATATGCACGTTTAATCTGTCAAAAATCATGACTCTGTTTCAAAGAGTCCCTGCCACCGAAGACGAGGCTTCTCCTGGTCTACTATGATTGGCTTGACGCAGGTGTTAGTGCTCACCTGGGTACGAGCCCAACATGCTGCCTTTAACGGCGATGTCAGCAGAGTGAACATCTTTGGGACTAGCGCGGGAGGGGCGAGTGTAGCCATGCACATGCTGTCACCCTTATCAGATGGTAGGTAGATTATGTCATAATAATCCAATTTCTCATTTCGACTGTGCATGCTCAGCGACCACATTTATAGCCAAGTGATATTACGTGGTTATTTACTCAGCCATAACATCTCATATCTAAAGTTCAATAGCATAGAAATCTGGATGTTCTTTTAGATGGCGTTTTTAACTTTCTAGTGAAATTAAACTTGTCAGGTGGACACCATGTTATTTTTGAGAGTGTGAACTGTTTGTATAAACTTGATTGGCGGGAAAGCAATACAAATCCATACTTGCAACTTCATTGTCCTTGTAAATCGCAATGATTGCCATATTTGAGCAAATTGAAGTCTCACCATGAACTCGAAATGCGAAAGAGGTTTCTAGCATGTGCATCGTAGGATTCAGGCGGCGAAGCAGATAAACATTGGTCAGGCGCATTTAGCATCAATAACAATGTCGACGAAGCAAGTGCCGAAAGGCGCAGGTGCCCCCACGGCCGCCGCCAGCCGTGGTCGGGGCGCTCTAGGGGTTTCCGCCCTCGTCAAGGAGGGTTTTTGGGTTGCTCCCCAAGAACTTTTAAAAATTTAAGACACCAGATGTCCTTTTTAGAGCTAAAAATACTTTCAAAACGCTAACAATAGAATTTATAACTTCAGTATAGGCCTAACTTATTTCGGCATCTGCCATTTACATGTCAAATTTAAATGGCGTGGTGGCACGCCACACGGTGCGGGCGTGTGTGCGTGGCGTTAGCAGGTACCGTGTGTGCATGAGTGGCGTTGGTGGCGTACGTGTGTGTGTACAGGTACACGTTCTCGGCGTGCATGCATGTGCATCGTAGAGCGTGCGTGGCGTGCTGTTGTTGTATGTTAAAGCGTGCGTGCATGCGTGCGTGCGTGTGTGCGGCTGCGTGCGCGGCGTGTGTGCGTGTGCAGTATATCGGCGTGGCGACACTGCGTGCATGTGTGCGTGTGCACTACACGTGCGCGCTGGCGTGCTGTGACGTACACGTGCGTTCGTGCGTGCGTGCGTGTGCACGTAGACGTGCGTACATGCGTCGTGCGGCGTTGCGTGCGTGTGAACGTACACGTGCGTGCCTGCGTGCGTTGAACGTACAGCGGTCGTGCCTGTGTGCGTGGCGTGGTGTGCAGGTACACGTGTGTCGTGCGTGTGCACGTGGCCACGTACACTGCGTGCGAGCGTGCGAGCGGTGCGTATGCACATACACGTGCGTGCGTGCGTGTGCACGTAGCACCCTGGTGCATGCGTGCGACGTGCGTGCGTGGCCGTGTGCAGGCACACGTATTGCATGCGCGCGTGCGTGCGTGCGTGGCATGCGTTGGATGTTACACGGCCGCGTCCGTGCGTACGCTGCATATGAACGACACATCGTGCGTGCGTGCGTGCGTGCGTAGGCATGTGAACGTACATCGTGCGTGCCTGCGGCGTGTGTGAGAGCGTGCGTGTTCACGTACACTGCGTGCGTGTGTGTGCAAGTAGCATGTAGCGTGCGTGCGTGCGTGCGTGCCGTGTGGCACGTACACGTCGGCATGCGCGCGTGACGTACACCCGGGCGTGCATGATGTGTGGTGCGTGGCGTGCGTGCGTGCGTGTGTACGTACACCGTGCGTGCGGCTGCGTGTGCTGTCCGAACAATATCACGCATCTGCCTTGCTGCCAACCGTTAAATCTGCGCATGTGCGCATATGACCAATGTTTACTAACATAAAAAGCCGTCATGTAGTAGTATATATGTCGTGTATACATTAAACGACAGTGATTTCAGATGATTATATGTCTCGGATTGCAATAATTGTAGATCCGGCCCTGTCTAACGAAAATTGGGTGCTTGAAAAAAATAATGATCGAAAAATTATGTCGGCCATGCGAGCCGGACGCGGTCCCGCGGCGCTCGGATTAAAACTATTTGTGTCTGGCAACAAGCTTGACGTCAAAGAATGTTATTAGCAATGACATCGACTGTTTATTAATAACGCATATTGACAGGTGCGTGACATTTGCAGGTTATTTCACCTAGCGCCGAAGTCACCGCTCTAGAGGAGGCCGACCGTCCGTCTCACTCGCCTCTTGGTTCCGTTGGAGGCAACGCACGAGCTTGCGTGACCACGCTGTTAGGTAGCCGTACAGCTGGTCAAGCGTCGTCCCTTAACTGTCCGTCAGCAAATAGCAGTGACCTGGAGGCACACAGGGACATGATGGATTGTTTGCGTCAAGTCAATGCAAGCGAGCTAATGATGGTACTTGCGATCAACATAGAAGAGTCAATTTAAATTACACCACGTGGCACAGAAACCCGATTTCACTGATATCCATTAATATGTGCAGTGGTAGCTTTCCTCTGTTCGTCCACGTCTATAGTCTTTTCTTTACAGGCTCAAAAATATATCGAAATCTGGAGTCCAACTGTTGATGGGAAATTCCTCCCCAATATGCCCCTAGACCTGCTCACATCAGGGCAATACGCTAAAGACGTCCAGCTAATAATAGGCACAACTAAGGACGAAGGAATCGCTTTCGTGTAAGTGAATAGTTCTCGTTTCATATGTGTTACACACGTTATGTATATATATAGTACTGTATGACTTTGTAACTATGAGCAAAATCAAGAGAAAACTTAATACCAATGCATCGCTACATGCTATGCAATATGCATTTTACAATCATCTCGTTGCGAACAGTAATAATTAATTATGCATTAATTTCTCGTCACAGTCCGATATACGCGGGCGTCGGGATTCTTAATCTGACTTACGAAATCCTTGCGGAGGAACTGATACCTGTGCAGCTAGAGTTTGCAAAATACTCAGATCCTACAGGAGTGTTGGCAGAATCCGTCCTGTTTGAGTATACGAATTGGGATGATCCCAGAGGAAAGGGTCACCTTAACGACATCTCTCCAAACTCCAACATCACAAACAAGGAGGGCGAGTGGAACACGATACAGTCTGCATCCGAGGTGCGAGAGCCCAGTAGGATAAATCAACATCATTTGCATCAGCAATACGTGTATGAATGGTCTTTTACCCCCCTCCAATAAGTGTTGAATTTCGTGAAATTGTGTTCTTTTCGTAATCGGGAGCATTACATATGATTCAACAACAAAACATCATAATATCACACAATATCACACCCTATCCTCTCATCCATTTTGCCCGCTGTCACGCTTTCTTTCTCCCTCTCGCTCTCTTTCTGTCTGTTAAGGATTAATATATATACCTATATCCGTGGGATAAGAACTTCATCAATGGCGCCTTTATATTCATTAGATTATTGGAGACATCATGTTCAAGTGCCCGATGCAGATTGAAGCTGCACTCCATGCAAGTAATGGAGTCCCTGTCTACATGTATGCGTTAGAGTATGTCACTGATATTTACGCTGGAATACCATGTAAGTAGTCATCTTCAAAATATGGTCGGCAAGCATAGTTGTAGCCAGTAGAAACTACAAGTAGACTGTACACAACTTACAGAATGTGGTCGTGTGTGTCCTGCTCAGGTCACCGCAACTATGTCTGTATCAGTTAGACTAAAATAACATTACTCACGTAAAATAGGACAGTCGCGACCTCATGTCTACTATATATATATATATATATATATATATATACACACGTGGTAATATATATA